TTCCATTTTTAATTTTAGAAATGCAACTAAACCATTCCATGCAACGGGTATAGTGGTTGTCAAAAAATCAGTACGGGTACAGATTGCTGGTACTGTAAAAGACAAATTAGCGCTGTTGGGAGCTAGCAACGGCGAAAACGGGGATAATGCTGATGAAGGTAAACATTATTCAAGTCACACTTTGTACTTTTGCTTCGTGCTAAATTTCTTTGATGTGATTACTTCGTTCAGATTCCATAATAGTCGGACGAGGTGAAGGACCAAGCAAACGGGTTGCAAAAATGGTTGCTGCAAAGCAAGCACTAGCGGTATCTAATCAATCTTTCTTTAGTGGTCTAAGTTAATGCTCTGGATCGTGCCAAGGTAATTCTTGTTCCGCTATAGGTGCTTATCCCCGAAATACGGTTCAATGATGACTACATGGCGACAATTCAACCTCCAGATGCTACTGAGAAGAATTACGATGACCAGGTAAGAGGAATCTGGATCGCTTAATCTTTGCTTAGAGGGTACTTAACATTTTGTGCAACAAATATCGCATCCCTTTCACACGGTAAAGGTATCTTTATACTTCGTAAGGGGACCGTAAGCGCGCACCCTCGACCGGCCGATTCTTCTTGCGCTTATAAGCGATTCAAGATCGGCTTCATTTGAGCCGATTTTTATGAAGTCTGGAGATACCTTAAGAACATTCCTTGTTGTGGAGTTGAGTTGTGTGGTGAATACAAAACTTTTTTGGGCACCTCTCATTCCCGAGCGTTTTTTAGCGATGGAGCAATTGACTGACCGATAGGCTGATAGTGGTAACCAGCTCTTAGCCTGCTCTATTGCTAGCAAACTGCTCGCCTGGAGAAATTCCCACAAATATTTCTGTGGTGAACAAAGAATAGGTCAAAGTCACAGTTGGCTGAATATGACATAGCTATGTGATTTGACTAGTTGAACACATTATAAACAAAGCCTCATCAAACTGTGTAGCCTTTGTTACTGTAAGACGATAACAGGGCAAAGTTACTTTGTCCAAAACTTTCCTTTAAACATTATGTGATACTAATAGCTACGAAGGCCATACACTCTTCTGTGGTATTACATTGTTTTTTTCATCTCAAGCTATCATTTAGAGGTTTGCTTCTTGTTTTCAGCGAATGGTAAGATCGCAGATAAGGATGAGTGTAACACATCTCTCACCTGTTTTTTTTTTCGAATTCTGTGTTTTTAGGCTATCGCATTATTCGACGAACTGCCTATCGAAGACCCACGAATATCCGATCTTGCTGTGCGCACTTGCCTACCGAAACCAATGATTCTGCTGAAAGTGGGTTTTTATGCTTTGTCGATGTTAACAACGAAGAAACTGTGGTCAGCGTAATCATACTAACATAATGAATACACATGTTGCTCTTACCACCTTTATTTTTTT